GGCATTCCTATCCCCTTAGCCTGATTTATTTTTCTTCAAAGCACTATCGCTATAGAATAGAGCATTACTGGATTTTTTTATGGTTTACTGGTGATCTCTCATCTCTAGAAAGTCTTAGAGGAACTTGTACTGTGTTGTTTATAACTCCCTCTGCAGTATTTAAAAGTATTTAACACACGGTAGGTGCTCAATTATTTGTTAAGTGACTGCCTGAATATAGTTTTATGGCTCACCCTCACTTAATGGGGAATCAAGGACAATAATAACAACTTGAATCTAAGCATAACTCAAACATGCTATTCTCATATTTATTCGTCTTCTTACTCAAATTATTTTACATCAGGGCTACTAACAGGTAGCAGAAATAATTATTATTTTTCCCAGTACAGTATCTGTTAGAAATTTTTACAAGGATTGAAAAGTTTGAGAACAAATAATAACAAAAACAAGCAAGAAATCCAGAAAATCTGTATCATGAGGCATGAATGGAAAGATTGTCTGGAGTCGGAAGAAAGTTACCTCCACAAGCAGAGAAGGCAGCGGGGTTGTACTATGCATAAACTGCACTTCAAAAGCTAACACATAAAAGGGCTTAGAGATACTTTTTGGAAACAGCTTTGAATACCCTTTTTGGTCACTGAAAGACACTTTTGATAGCAGAGAATATAAAAATTACTCATTCTGTGGCAACTGACTCATAATTTCCTGTTAATCTCCCCCCACTCCCTATGATACAAATCAATAGTACTGTCTGGGTCTGTTTTGCCATTTCATTGTAGCTAAAGGGAATGGAAATTTTTTAAAGAAGCATGCAACATGTACAAATATAGCACTATTTATAAATCTCACAGATATGTGACCTAAAGGACAAAGCAGGACTCCCGATTGGGCACTAACATGTTAGGATATCATCAAGAACTTTTGTACACATTCAGAAAATCCTGCACTTGAATAAGGAATTTAGACAGTGTTTTAATGGACAGAAAAATAATGGGATTAGTTTAAAAAAATAGCGTAGAGGAACTTACATTAGATGACACATCCACACACCTAAAAATTGACTTCTGCTTAAAATATTTTCTTTCACCTAGTCCCATATCTAACTCAGATGTGATGGATACTACATGGAATGAGTTTTCTCTCTTTTTTTTTATTAAAAAAAAGAGAGAATTATTTTACTTAACTTCATTTATTTGTTATTAATTTGAACAGAGAGGGACAGAGTGAGAGAGTGAGAAAGCAAGCCACCAGGTCCAGGACTTGAACCGTGGTCAGCCATGTGGGAGTCCATGCCCTTAGCCACCATGTCACCCATCAACTTCCCTGGAATGAGTTTTTTTTCTCACCATGAAACAAAGAATAGTTTATCCCTAAAACATAGATTTGATAAGCTAAGGTGGTTTTAATGTTAATGTTTCATTAAAGTAAAAAATCTAAAAATAGTCAAAATTAAAATTATTTTATAATCTTGACACAGGGTTTCTTATTAAGAAAGTTGAAACAAGGGTAATAAAATGATTTAATTTTATTTGAAGAAATATATCTATAAAGGAACTAAAACCAAATTGACTGTAATTCAAATATTAACATGTAATCCCAATAATTCTTCTAGTTGTGGGACCAGCAGTTAGTGTAATGGCTATGTCGCTGAACTCCCATGTGGTTGACCGCGGTTTGAGTCCCGGACCCGATGGCTTAAACTCACGCCGGGTGCATGTGTGTGCGTGCCCAAGATCCCAAGGAGAATGGAGGAGAAGGGACTATGGTGTGGCCATTCCCCCTGGGGGGTGATTTCTCAGTTTCTGTCTCTCTGTCTCTGTCTTTCTGGTGAGTACATGTGCCCTGTAGCAAAAACCTCTGCCCCCCCCAAAAAAACTCTTCTAGTTGTTATCTCTATCCTCTCCTCGATTAAGCCAGAGGGGCATAATATTAAGTATTCATAGTTTATTTTTCCCCCAAATTAGATCTATAGGAAAGACTGACTAAATTCTCTCTCAATTCATTATCAAGCTTAGTCCAAGTCAATATTGGCTTCTGTTCATCCCTAAAAGCTTTTGCTTTAAGAAAATTGTGTCAATAAATATTGAGCACAGATCTGTCTTTGCCTCTTACCTTTTTATTAAAAACTTTTAAAATGGGGCCATCACAAGATAATATTGATATAAGAAATTTAATGAAAATTGAACATTAATCAATGGATAATAAATCAATGTATTTAACCACTTAGAGTAGAAACTGTGAATAAATTGTTTTAATCACATGGCCAGAGCTACATGGTCTATTAACAGTTTACAGGTATAAAACAGTAGCTGGCAGAATTAATTAGGTAAGTTTTAGGGCAAGTTTTTATTAATTTAAAAATTATTCTGCTATATTGTTGATACTTGAACTGAACAAACTGACATACTGAACTTAAAAGGTTTCCCTGCTTTGGGAGTAAATTCTGAAGCAATCTCTAGTTCCTTAATACTATATTGCAATTTGAAATTAATGCTCAGCATTAATTACATATTTAGCTCACCTAAGAACACATACCTGTGCATACCCGATGAAGATACACATTAACACATTCACTAAAAACTTGACACATTTTAGTTTAAACTAAATAAATACACAACTAGAATACCACCATCCTAAGCCTAGCACAAAAACAATACTAACACCTTATAAGAAATTTGCTAAGTATTTCAGTATAAAAAAATCTCTAAATAGCCCAAATTGAGCTTTTAAAAAAATACTAAATAAACTCTTTTAAGCCAGGAAAGATCCAGTAAATAAATAACTTCTTATGTAACTGGTTACTTAGTAGTAACCTACTTATTATTCATTCAACAAATAAACTCTGAAAGTCCGCTGGTTGAACCTGTTTCAACCCTTTAAAAAAGAATATTCTTTCAGAAATCAAGGTTTACTGTCTTCTCACAGATTTTTAATGCTTCCCCCCCTTCCTGATCATTAAATTATTTTATATTCGAAGTGATAACTTTAAAAAACCGAGTACAAAATATAAATAATCAGAGCTGTCATATTTCAAATATACTGGATGAATTTCTGAGAACTTAAAAAGGAGAGAAGCTAAATGAAATGGAGAACTCTACTTGATTCTAATAAGGGGGAAAAAATACCTGTCACTGGAAATACATCATGACTACTTTTTCACATGACATACCTTGGTCTCTGTGACTGGCCTTGACTTTCATCTACACTGAGGAGACCGCTGCTGCATTCAAACCTTTTTGAAGCTTCACTTCTTTTGACTAACAGAATGAAAAAGGAATAATGACTCAGATAATAAAAATATCAAAGTAATCTTATTTAAAATCCAAGCATTTAGCAGGCATATAGGATAATTTGTACAAGTTATATTCATGCAAACAACCTGTTATTAAACTTGTTGGGGTTAAGTCATGTTATTTTTAAAGACAATGAATTATTATCTTTATGATGAAAATGCTTACATGGGGCTGGCAAGTGGCATGGTGGTTAGGGATGCTGGACTCCCACATGGCCCACTGTGGTTTGAGTCCTGGACCTAGTAGCTTGCTTTCCCACTTTCCCTTTCTCTCTCTCTCTCTTGCTCTGTCCCTCTGTGGTTAAATTTAAAAAAAAAAAATTAAATAAAATAATTCTTAAAAAAATAAGAATAAAATAACAATGTTACATCATTGTTTGATGCAACTGCTAGAGTTCTTATAATACTACCAAAATAAGTAACCAGAAATTTTTTACAATTTAAAAATTTTATATGGAATTACTTTTGCCAACTTAGATTTCAATACTACTAGAAAAGAATCATCATAGTTTCTTCAAAGTAGGATGCTACATGTTCAGATGCCTCTCACCTTGTCTGAAATCTGATTCACAGGAAATAATAGATGGACTCTCACTGGAGGTATTAAAAACATCACTGTGGTATGTTTTGTATCTTCGAACTGGTTCTAAAAGGATTAAAACAAAAACATTAGAAAGCAACTCAGTAACTATTCTACACAAATAAAATAAAATCTTATGTTTATCTTGTGGGACAAGAACGTTTCATACATTGCTTTAAATTGACCAATTGCTGGACTACATTCAAACATTGTGGTTCCAGTTTTCAAGTCATTGACATCTGGCTGACAGCATGTATTCTGCAGCCAGACTTCCTGAGTCTGAATCTTAACTCCATCACTTGTGGATTTAAACTCATGGGTAATGGCCAAGCTGCAATCCCTTCTCCTTTCTCCTCTTGGGATTTTGGGAACACACGCACAAGTGTCCAGTGTGAGCTGTCAGGTCTGGGACTCAAACCACGGTTGACTATGTGGGAGTCCAGCAATAATATAACCATTATGTCATATAAACATCATCTCTAACAAGACATTTCTGAATGCTTATATGTATAATTCTCTATTGTGTACTATGAGGAATAAAAAAATCCTAAGACACAATCCTAAAGAATTTAAAATATAAAAAATAAGACAAGTATACGAATACTTAATTCAAGACTGGATGTCTAATTACACGGCAAGTTTTTATTAATTTAAAAATTATTCTGCTATATTGTTGATACTTGAACTGAACAAACTGACATACTGAACTTAAAAGGTTTCCCTGCTTTGGGAGTAAATTCTGAAGCAATCTCTAGTTCCTTAATACTATATTGCAATTTGAAATTAATGCTCAGCATTAATTACATATTTAGCTCACCTAAGAACACATACCTGTGCATACCCGATGAAGATACACATTAACACATTCACTAAAAACTTGACACATTTTAGTTTAAACTAAATAAATACACAACTAGAATACCACCATCCTAAGCCTAGCACAAAAACAATACTAACACCTTATAAGAAATTTGCTAAGTATTTCAGTATAAAAAAATCTCTAAATAGCCCAAATTGAGCTTTTAAAAAAATACTAAATAAACTCTTTTAAGCCAGGAAAGATCCAGTAAATAAATAACTTCTTATGTAACTGGTTACTTAGTAGTAACCTACTTATTATTCATTCAACAAATAAACTCTGAAAGTCCGCTGGTTGAACCTGTTTCAACCCTTTAAAAAAGAATATTCTTTCAGAAATCAAGGTTTACTGTCTTCTCACAGATTTTTAATGCTTCCCCCCCTTCCTGATCATTAAATTATTTTATATTCGAAGTGATAACTTTAAAAAACCGAGTACAAAATATAAATAATCAGAGCTGTCATATTTCAAATATACTGGATGAATTTCTGAGAACTTAAAAAGGAGAGAAGCTAAATGAAATGGAGAACTCTACTTGATTCTAATAAGGGGGAAAAAATACCTGTCACTGGAAATACATCATGACTACTTTTTCACATGACATACCTTGGTCTCTGTGACTGGCCTTGACTTTCATCTACACTGAGGAGACCGCTGCTGCATTCAAACCTTTTTGAAGCTTCACTTCTTTTGACTAACAGAATGAAAAAGGAATAATGACTCAGATAATAAAAATATCAAAGTAATCTTATTTAAAATCCAAGCATTTAGCAGGCATATAGGATAATTTGTACAAGTTATATTCATGCAAACAACCTGTTATTAAACTTGTTGGGGTTAAGTCATGTTATTTTTAAAGACAATGAATTATTATCTTTATGATGAAAATGCTTACATGGGGCTGGCAAGTGGCATGGTGGTTAGGGATGCTGGACTCCCACATGGCCCACTGTGGTTTGAGTCCTGGACCTAGTAGCTTGCTTTCCCACTTTCCCTTTCTCTCTCTCTCTCTTGCTCTGTCCCTCTGTGGTTAAATTTAAAAAAAAAAAATTAAATAAAATAATTCTTAAAAAAATAAGAATAAAATAACAATGTTACATCATTGTTTGATGCAACTGCTAGAGTTCTTATAATACTACCAAAATAAGTAACCAGAAATTTTTTACAATTTAAAAATTTTATATGGAATTACTTTTGCCAACTTAGATTTCAATACTACTAGAAAAGAATCATCATAGTTTCTTAAAAGTAGGATGCTACATGTTCAGATGCCTCTCACCTTGTCTGAAATCTGATTCACAGGAAATAATAGATGGACTCTCACTGGAGGTATTAAAAACATCACTGTGGTATGTTTTGTATCTTCGAAGTTTATAACTGTCAGGCATGAGTCATCTTTTCACCGTGAGTATTGCAGAATCGCATATCACATTCCAATCTCATCTGTGCTGCTGCTAGGGTCTCAGCAGCAGCTCCTTGCTTGCCTGCTGACTTCCATGGTGGAGCACTTGGTGAGACCAGCCATACAGATTAATTAACTGGGCATGGGAGAAGAGAGGATGGTACCTGTTTCTATCCGTTTTGGGTTAGTATAAGATTTAGTTAGGCACAAACAGTTTTTTTTTTTTTTTTTTTTTTTTTTGCTAAACAAGTAAATATAATAATAACAACGCACATCTCATATTGTTGTTGTAAGCATTAAATTAATTAACATATACAAAACTCTTAGAATGGAGTAGATATTATAAAAACATCATCTTTTTTTTTTTTTAGAGAGAGAGCTTTTCGCTACAGGGGGCAGGTGCTTGCCAGAGAGAAAGAGACAGAAAGTGAGAAATTATCCCCCATGGGTAATGGCCAAGCTGCAATCCCTTCTCCTTTCTCCTCTTGGGATTTTGGGAACACACGCACAAGTGTCCAGTGTGAGCTGTCAGGTCTGGGACTCAAACCACGGTTGACTATGTGGGAGTCCAGCAATAATATAACCATTATGTCATATAAACATCATCTCTAACAAGACATTTCTGAATGCTTATATGTATAATTCTCTATTGTGTACTATGAGGAATAAAAAAATCCTAAGACACAATCCTAAAGAATTTAAAATATAAAAAATAAGACAAGTATACGAATACTTAATTCAAGACTGGATGTCTAATTACACCAGAATGAAATTACAAACATTGAGCGGAGAGGTCATGTGTATGTATGTGAAGTTACGCCTTGTCTGAGGAGGCAAAGCCCAGGGACAAGCGTGGACTAAAATCTAAATCCCATCCTCTGAATATTTCTGACTTGTCACCTCTTTTTCAACCCATTGTCCCAATCCTCAAGTGCTATTTATCCTATTTCTGGACTATTGCTGTCTCCTAAACTCCTTTCTGCAGCCTTGCTCTTCGCATATAAAAACTCCTCTTACAGAGAATGAACTTCCCAGAAATGAAAATCTGAGCATGCCTTATATTTATTTTTTTAAGAATTATTTATTTAATTTTATTTATTCATTCGTTTATTTCAATTTGACCAGAGAGAATGCAGAGGGAGAGAGAGGAGAAAGAGAGAGGGAAGGTGGGAAAGCAAGCCACCAGGTTCAGGACTCGAACTGTGGTCAGCCATGTGGGAGTGTCTGGCACTTTAACCATCATGTCACCTACTGGTTCATATTTCTTAAATTCTTTCAAACTAGAGTCTTCAAGATACAGTTAAAACTCTTTACCTTGGTTTTCAAAGTCTTTTATAACCTGGTCCATATTCATATTTCTAGCAGTGGCTTTTATTTTGAAGTTACAGATTCATTTGTCAAAATGGGCTAAAAAGTATATACCTCCCTATTCCTGTTACCCACAACTTATAAATACAAAAAAATTTAAATATAAATTTAAAAACTTGGTTCAGATCTCATCATCCACTTCCCCAAATTCTGCACCTGCATTACTGAATCTGAAGATAAAAAACCAAAAGTATATAAACTTTCAGATTCCTTCCTAAAAGATACTTCCTCTGCTAAAAATGTTGTTTTCCCCTTTTCTTTGCCTAAATATATTTTCCCCTTTAAGAGAAACCTCACCTTCTATGCAAAAGTTTTTACAAGCACCTAATGACTGAGTTGGACATTGCTTCTCTCATTTTCGTAAGTCTTTTTGTTTAACTAATTGCAGCAATTCTTTCTTTAAAAAAATTTATTTACTCATTCATTCATTTTAATCTGACCCAAGAGAGAGAGAGAGAGAGAGAGAGAGAGAGAGAGAGAGAGAAAGAGAGAGAGAGAGAAGGAAAGTGAGAAAGCAAACCGCCAGGACCAGGACTCGAAACATGGTCGGCCATGTGGGAGTGTCCAGTGCCTTAACCACCACGCCACCTGCTGGTCCCCCTTTTTTAAAAAATTTATTTATTCATTCATTTATTTTAATTTGACCAGAGAGAGTAGCGCTTCTCTTTTTCTTTTTCTTTTTTTTGAGAGGTTTTTGCTATAGGGCGCGTGCGCTCGCCAAACAGACAGAGAGAGACAGAGAGACAGAAAGCGAGAAATCACCCCTCAGGGAGGATGGCCATTCTGCAATCCCTTCTCCTCCATTCTCCTCTCGGGATCTTGGGCATGCACGCACACGCGCCCGGCGTGAGTTTTAAGCCACCGGGTCTGGGACGTGAACCGCATTTGACTATGTGGGAGTCCAGCAACATAGCCATTACGCTGACTGCTGGTCCCAGCAATTCTTTTCTGACTTGCTTCTACCTAAATGATGAGCTCTCTGCTACAAAGGGTTTTGTCTGTTTTAGATGTATAGCACTTGTAGTATTTAGCAAGTACCTGGTGTAGAGCACGAACAATAAAAATATTTTCTAAGACCATAAATGAATGTAAATGTCACATAAAGGTCACTGATAACCTTTAAGAGCATGCTTTTCATGACAGAAAAAGATCAGGAGGCAAATCAGTGAGGATTTTTAAAAAACTAGATGGTTAGACAGTAAAAAAATTAGTATATACTTCTTTTAAGAAGTTTGAGGATTTGGGGAAAAAGATTTAAAAATAGAGTTATTGGGAACCAGCAGTTAGCGTAATGGCTATGTAGCTGGACTCACACGTAGTCGACCGCGGTTCGTGTTCCGGACCCGGTGGCTTAAAACTCACGCCGGGCGCGTGTGCGTGCGTGCCCAAGATCCCCAGAGGAGAATGGAGGAGAAGGGATTGTGGCGTGACCATCCC